AATGAACGCCTGTATTCTTTTTATCTGGACTGACCAGTTGTTAACATTTTTGGCATTATTGACATTTTCGAAAAGTCCAGATCAGTTATTCTGCAGAATATGCCTTGATCTGGCTGTGGCCGAGTCCTCCCGGGCAGAGTTGGAGGGACAGCTGGTGCCTTACTCGGCGAGGCGGGTCCCCTCAGAGCATCCCACCAGATGAATGCCCGGTGCGAGGAGCTAGAGAGCCTCCCGGTAAGGGGGAAAGAGGACGGTGAAGACGGTGACCTGAAGCTCAACATTAAAAAACTAAGTCCGTGGCATCCAGTCCCATCTCTCCATGGCAAATAGAAGGGGGAAAAGTGGAAACAGTGACAGGTTTTATTTTCTTGGGCTCCGAAATCACTGCAGATGGTGACTGCAGCCATGAAATTAAAAGATGCTTGCTCCTTGGAAGAAAAGCTGTGACAAACCTAGACAGCATATTAAAAAGCAGAGACACGACTTTGCCAGCAAAGGTCCGACTAGTCGAAGCTGTGTTTTTTCAGTAGTCACGTATGGATGTGAGAGTTGGACCATAAAGAAGACTGAGTGCTAAAGGCTGATGCTTCTGAACTGTGGTGTTGGAGAAGACTCTTGAGAGTCCCTGGGACTACAAGGAGAGCCAACCAGTCCATCCTAAAGGAAATCAGTCCTGATATTCATTGGAAGGACAGATGCTGAAGGTGAAGCTCCAATGCTTTGGCCACCTGTTGCAAAGAGCCGACTCATAGGAAAAGCCCCTGACACTGGGAAGACTGAAGGCAAAAGGAGAAGAGGGTGGCAGAGAATGAGATGGTGAGAGAGCATCACTGACTCAAAGGACATGAATCTGAGCACTATCTCTAGGAGATAGTGGAGGACAGAGGAGCCTGGTGTGCTGGAGTCCATGGGGTTGCAAAGAGTTGGACAGGACTTTAGCGACCAAACAACAATAACAATAAGATCTGATGACCCGGCTCAGAGGTGCTCACCAGACTTCTTCCCTGCCAAGTCATCCGTCTCCTTTTTAACTAATAAGTAGTCTGTTGGGTGATTCGTAGAGTCTGTGTGAAGGTCCTTTCTTCCAGGAAACTTTCACCCCTTAGCTTTAGCCTCCAGGCTGATCTTTGCCCAAGTCAGTTGCTCCAGCGGTGGTTTTCCAGTATATCTACATTTGTTTGTTGGTGGCCAGTGACTGCATCCAGGCAAAGATAGTTCAGGAGTTATCTTCACCTGTGACTGTTATCTTTTATTCGGAAAAAGGAGGCTTTGCTGATAGAATTAAGGATCTTGAGATGAGATCATTCAGGTGGGCCCTGAATCCTTGACAGATGTCCTTGGCAAGGGGAGAACACACAGGAGGAGACAGTGTGGCCATCATGGCCTCCCTAGTCCCCCACCTACTCAGGAGTAGGTGCTTCCTAAAGCAGGGCTGACCCACCACACCCCTGCTTTCATGGAGCTTTCGAACTCGGGGTGGTGTTTATATTTTTAAAATTGGTTGGAAAAAATTAAAAGAAGAGTTCATGACATGTGCAAATGATACAGACTTCCCATGTCTGTGTCCAGACACAAGTTTACTGAAGGACAGGCACACACACTTGTACACATGAAGGACAGCCACACATGTGTACAATGTGAGGAACAGGCACATACAAGTGTATATGAAGGAAGGCACACACGTGTACCTGTGAAGGAAGGCACACACGTGTACGTGTGAAGAACAGGTGCACACACACGTGTACACACAAAGGACAGGTATACACATGTGTACACATGAAGGACAGGCCCACACGTGCACACGCAAAGGACAGGCACACACACAGGCACACATTGTCGCAGCGGCTTTCCTGCGGTGAAGCAGCCTTGGCTCGTTGCAGGAGAGCCCACCTGGACGGCCCAGTCCTGACTAGTCACTCTTCGGCTCTTTCAGCAAACACTTGTCCTCCCCGACCTCAAGGATGAGGGGTAACTGCTTGAATACAGGCTGGTCTCTCTGCTTCCTGATCCTCAGTCTTTCACGTGTGTGTTTGACTCCACTTTGCCCCAGTATTTATGTGTTCAGGAGATATTTAGCGGGCATCTACTTCTCCCACCAAACAGGTCGAGGGGCTCAGCCCCGAGTGTCTGCCCGCGCCGGTGGAGGAGTGTCCGGAGCACGGGGGGCAAGGGGCTGGACCTGTGTTAATTCCTCTCTGGCCAGGGTGTGTGGCGGCTGTCAACAGGAAGAAGCCGCGTGCAGGGCTTCCCTGGTTGTCCGGTGGGTAAGAATCGCCTTCCAACGCAGGGGACTGGGGTTCCCTCCCTGGCTGGGGAACTGAGAGGCCTCATGCCGCGGGGCAGATAAGCCCCCGAGCAGCAACTGGAGAGAGGCCGTGTGCTGCAGCGGGGACCCAGCGTCGCCAAAGTGGAATGAACTAACGAAGCTAAAGAAATCAGGGGAAGAAGCCGCGTGCACCCGCGGGGCTGACACCTCGCTGTGGGCCGCGTCGGCTCCCTCCAGGAGGGGCTTCCACTCCTTTCCAGCTTGGGCTCCCCTGGCACCTGGGGGCTCAGAAGCTCTGATCTCCGCCTTGCCTCTGCCTCCTCCACCTGGGGCTGTCAGTGTGTCTGAGACACCCCGAGGCCCCCTTTCCTCTTCCGCCACAGTTTCCACTTCCTGCCCCTGTCCCAGCTGTTCAGACTGCGCTAGCGGAGGAGGAGCTCAGAGCAAGGAGGGCTGTCAGCCGCGCCCAGGCACCCTCAGCACCCCGCAGGCACGGCCGGCTTCAGCCTCTTTGTTAAAGTCTTTTCTTTAAAAGGGAAGAAGAGAAAGTTCAGTTGCTTGGTCATGTCCAACTCTCTGCGACCCATGGACTGTAGCCTACCAGGCTCCTCCGTCCATGGGATTTTCCAGGTGAGAGTGGGTTGCCATTTCCTTCTCAGGGGATCTTTCCAACCCTGGGATCTAACCCAGGTCTGCATTGCGGGCAGATGCTTTGCCATCTAAGCCACCAGGGAAGCCCATTAAATGGGAGGTAGCTTTATTGTTCTCCTATTTTGCAGAAGAAAAGACTGAGGCTCAGGGAGGTGAAGGACTTGGCCCAAGGGAACAGAGCTCTGGAGCACGGAGCCTGGAACTTGAAGACAGGCAGCGTGACCCCGAGCCAGGCCTCTGTGGGGACAGAGGCGCACTCTGACCGGAAGGATGTGCCGGCAGGAGCCGTGGCTCCCTTTCTGTAGAGACATCTTTGGTCGCGTCCTCCGGTGCATTGTTGCTGTCGCTCAGCCAGCCGCTCGGTCGTGTCCGACTCTTTGCCACTCCACGGGCGGCAGCGCGCCAGGCCTCCCTGTCCATCACTAACTCCCAGTGTTTGCTCAAACTCATGTCCATCGAGTCGGTGATGCCATCCAACCGTCTCATCCTCTGCCGCCCCCTTCACCTCCTGCTCTCAATCTTTCCCAGCATCAGGATCACCCCCAGACACATACTGAGGAGAAAATTGGGCTCTCGGGCTGACCATCTTCCACCAAAGGGACTTGAAAGTCCTAACAGGCCAGACGCTGGCGGAAGGACGGAAGGATGGAGAGACGTGCTTTCGTCATCTGGGGTTGCCATGCCTCGGCAAGATTAAAGCATCCCCCCTGCCCAGGGTGCTTCTCCCCTGGACCCCGGTTGTTCAGAATACCAGCGGCCGGGACTTCAGCAGGACTGGCCACTCGGCAGTGCCCGAAGCGTCCATGGAATGTCAATCAGGTTCCCAGAAAAGGTGGAGTGGTCAGATAAGGACTGGGAATGTGGCGGCCGGGAAGCCGGGCAGGATTCTTGATGGAGCCTCCCAGGCCCTCGGCCCGGAGCGGGAGGCTGTGCGCGCTGGTGACCTGACTCAGTGCGTCCCCGCCCGCTGCAGGACAGGTGCCCCTGGGCGAGGCTGCCTGGGCCCACGATTGCTCCATTTCAAGTCCCAGACACGGAGGAGGGCTACCTCGGGAACTTGGGATTAATAGAGCGACACCACTACATAAAAACTAGATAAACAAGGACCCACTGTTTAGCTCAAGGAGCTAAGAAATGGCAATCCACTCAGTATTCTTGCCTGGAAAGAATCCTTGTCCATGGAACTCCCATGGACAGAGGAGCCTGGCGGATTACAGTCCGTGGGGTCGAAAGAGTTGGACACGGCTGACTGAGCACACACAAGTTATATGCAATATCTTGTAATATCTTATTAAATACCTTATTAAAAGAAGCTGAAAGGAATATATATGTGTACACATATTGTTGTTGTTGTTTAGTCACTCAGTTGTCTCTGACCCTTGTAGTCCACCAGGCTCCTCTGTTCATGGCGTTTTCCAGGCAAGAGAACTGGAGTGGGTTGCCATTTCCCCTTCCAGGGAATCTTCCCGACCCAGGGATCCAACCTGTGTCTCCTGCATTGGCAGGCAGATTCTTTACCCCTGAGTCGCCAGGGAAGCCAATATACATGTTATATATGTATAATTGAATTGCTTTGCACTATACCTGAAGTATATTGTCACCGTGCTTATTTAACTTATATGCAGAGTACATCATGAGAAATGCTGGACTGGGTGAAGCCCAAGCTGGAATCAAGATTGCCGGGAAAAATATCAATAACCTCAGATAGGCAGATGACACCATTTGGAAAAGACCCTGGTGCTGGGAGGGATTGGGGGCAGGAGGAGAAGGGGACGACAGGGGATGAGATGGTTGGATGGCATCACCGACTTGATGGACATGACTTCAAGTAAACTCCAGGAGTTGGTGACAGACAGGGAGGCCTGGCGTGCTGCAAAGCGATCCCACGACTGAGCGACTGAACTGACTGATACCTGAAACATTGCAAATCATCTATACTTCAACTAAAAAGCAAGCAAAGAGTAATAGGCACGAGCTCTGGGGAGTTTCAGGAGAATGGAAATTCCCTTGTGCTGCCGTGTGTGTCGGGGGAATTATTAAAGCAAAATGATTTTTTAAAATTTATTTTTTTGTTCAAGTAGAGTTTATTTACGATGTTAATTGCTGCGGCACAGCCAAGTGAGTCGGTTACACACATTTACAGACTAAAACAATGCTTTGTTCTTTAGGCTTCAGCAAAATCGCAGTCTTCAAAAGGGCGAAGCGAGAGGAGCCCAGGCAGCTCAGTGATTACGGGCGGGTCTTCGTCTCGCATCGACTCACTGCTGTGGCTAGGCTGGAAGGGGGTGAGGGTGACTCTGGGTTTCCTGGATCTGTGAACACTTTGTTAGGAAAGTTTCGTAGAAATTAATCATTAGACGTGATATTAATCGCACAAAATTAGCTTGGAGTTTCCTGAGGGTTTTTAGTTACAGCAAAAGTAAACTAGGGACTTCCCTGGCGGTCCAGTGGTTAAGAATCCACCCTCCCACGCAGGGGACACGGGTTCAGTCCCTGGTCAGGGAACTAGGATCCCACATTCGGAGGGACAGCTGAGCCCTGGAGCCCCAACTACTAAGCCTGTGAGCCTCAAGGAAGACCCAGCCCAGCCAAAAAAAATATATAACGCGATCATGTAAACCTCTCTCAAGTGTTAGTGTTTTCTGCATTTTAGTCTGTCTAATCCTTTACAAAGTGTGCAAACATCAGCACCCCGGAATGCCAACCATGTTCCATCTCAAATGACAGACGTAAGCACACATTTGTGCGATTCTGATACGGAGCTGTGGCCCTTGGACCCTGGCTAACTCCACCTGGGAATATGTGGAATTTACTTGTCGTTTTCAGGAAACAAGGTGTCATTGTTAGGAAGGTTTCCTGTCATAAAAATTTCTCTAATTTGGTTTTAAAATAGCAACCTTAGATGTTGTTTTTGACTTAGAAATATATAGGAAATCTAAAATTGTATCCCCCCCCCTTTTTATGTGTGGGCTTGAGTGTATGTGGAAGAATTTTCCATATTTTCCACAGACAAAAAATGAGCTGCTCCTATTCCTGGTAGTGAACAATGTGACGATGTTTTATTGTCTGCGCGCACGTGTGCAGACGTCCTGACATGAACGGGAGAACTCGGGGTTGGTTCCGGTGACGGGTTCCAGGTACAGAAACCATCCTTCTTACCCTCGAGCCCTCGTCCTGAGAGCTGGTCCGCCCGCCAGCCTTAAGGTTATCATCTGCGGCCGACAAGTGGTTTTCCAGCCCGAAGCTTCTCTGGCGTGGCCCTCCTGACCAGGCTCGCACTCACACGCAGAGCCGGCCATTTCTGGTGTGCCCAAGCCACGCCTTATCTGTCAAAGGAAGAAATAGTCTGTCCTGAGTTTCTTTACATAAAGCATCAGGAAAAGAAATACTTTACAAAAGTCTTCGCAGTGTGATTAGAGAAGTTAAATATTGAAGATTCAAAACCCAACCAGAGTTCTTCAAAGAAAAAAGCAAAACAAACAAGGCCAGCCAGGAGGAAGCTCTGCTCTTTGTGGGAGCAAGAAGCTGCTGCTTTGGGGGACGGCGGGGGAAGGGGGGCTGACGCGGAGGCTCTCGAGAGCTGTGAGCACCAGACCAGGTATCCAGGACCCCACACTCCCGTGGTCTTCTCTTAACCCCCGCCTTTTAAAAAAACTGTGATACAGTGTATATGACAAAATTCACCATTTTAACCATGCCAATGTATCCAGTTCAGTGGCATTTAGCACGTTCCCTATGTCAAGACCATCACCATGGTCCAATTCCTGAGCATCTCCCGCCCCAAGCAGGAGACTGGCCCCCAAGGAGAAGTCCATCCGCTTCTCTCCCTGCCGGGGTCCCTGCCTTCTGGGTGCGGACTCACGTCTTCTGGACACTTCGCACAGCAGAAGCCCACAGTGTGTGGCCTTTTGATGGGGCTTTTCCCACATAGAATGTGTTTCTGGTGCTCACCTCTGCTGTGGCGTGTGTCAGGATTTCACGCCTCTTTATGGCTGAGTTCCATTGTATGGATGGCCTGTGATTCATTCATCCATTCATCTGTCAGTGGACATCAGGGTTGTTCCCACCTTTTGTCTGTTGTTAATAATGCTGCTGCGAACATCTGTGTGCAAGTTATTATTTGAAAAGCTGTTTTTCATTCTTTCCGGTGTATACCTAAACATGGAATAGCTGGGTTATGTGGTAGTTCTGTATGAGCTTCCCAGGTGGTTTACTGACAAAGAATCTGCCTGCAATGCAGGAGATGCGGGTCTGACCCCTCGGTCAGGAAGATCCCCTGGAGAAGGAAATGGCAACGCACTCCAGTGCTCTTGCCTGGAAAATCCCATGGACAGTGGGGCATGGCAGGCTACAGTCCATGGGGTCGCAAAGAGTCAGACATGCCTGATCGACTCAACAACAACAAAACAATAGTGGTCCTGTGTCTAACTATTGAGAAAGCACCAAGCTGTCTTTTCGCTTGCCTTTAAAAGAAGTAGTCATTTTATTTATTTGGCTGTACCAGATCTTAGTTGCAGCATGTGGAATCTACTTCCGTGGCCAGGGATAGAACCCAGGCCTCCTGCATTGGGAGTGCAGAGTCTTAGCCACTGGACCACCAGGGAAGTTCCTCTCTTGCCTTTTAAATGCCCCTCTTAAAAATTTACCACACAATTGATATTCTAAAATAAATTATGGGATGCGTTAAAGAATGGTTATATTTCTAGACTGAATGTTAAACATCTAAGAAGTTTCTTTGGAGCCCAAAAGCACTCAGACTAGTTTGTTAAATAAACAACCAAACATGCACCACTTAGATTTATTTACTTCCTGCCCGAGTTGGCTTTTTCCTACAACATTCAGCCTTTTACAAAATCCAGCATCTCTTAAGAGGACGGTTATAAATGGATTACATGGTTACTGTCCACTTTGGCTTTCTACTTTCTGCATCAGATGGCAGCTCTCTAATCTCTGATTTGGCTGGATGCAGAGTAATCCCAGGGTGGATCTGAGTTTTAGTGCTCATCTTCCATTTTATGTTTGCTTCTGCTTAAATGTCCTGGTTCCCCAGGGCAGGTAGGAGAGAAATGACATGATTACGGATAATGCTGATGGCTGGGGACCGATGACCCCCCAGCACACTGGCTGGGAAGTTCCTGGTCCCAGCTTCCGGCGGACAGAGCGAAGACCTGAGCGTTCGCTTGCCTTGTACAGTGCGAGCTCACTGGAGGGGCCAGCCCGTCCCTGGAGGGGCTGCTCCCACCCCCAGCTCCTCCCTGGGTTTGGGGATGTAGTTCAAAGGTGCTTCTCTAAAAGGCGTACGCCGTCACCCAGGGCGAAGATCCAAAGCACTCAACAGTCAGTAAGGCGGAGGCACCAACCAGTTGGCATTAGGCTGTGGGCTGGGGAAGGGGCAGCAGGTTTCGGAAGCCACCCCAGGGCTCAGACTCCACGCGGCAGCGGCCAGAATGCCGGCTGGTCTCAGGGTCCTGGGTTAGGATGCAGAGGCAGCGGCTCTGGGAGGGAGTGTTGGGGTTGTGACTATGGACCCACTGACAAGCAAGTATTTTAATATTTCAGCAAGCAGCGGGGCTGTCCTGCCAGGCTAGGAGGATCTGTCACTTTCTGCAAGGCTGGAGCGTGTCTTCCGTGTGTCCTCACAGGGCAGCGATGCCTCGTCCTCAGAGGGTGAGGACCTGGGGGAAGGCAGGGAGATGAAAGCAGAGTCTGGAGAGTGGAGAGTTCCGGCTCCCACCTGTTTTCAGAGACCGTGTGTTGAAGATGTTGGAGGCAGTGGCGGGGACTGAAGAGGGTGCTGTAGGCGGGCGGGGCGGCCCACTGAGGGGGGTGGGAGAGGAGGACGGAGACGCAGCCTGCAGCAGGGAGGCCCTCGAGGGCAGAGGTCACATCCGGAGAGCGGGCAGCGAAGGGGGTGTCCTCTCCGGATACGGCTGCCAGGTGGGAACTGGGAAGGCTCAGCTGCTCGTGGCGAGGTATCCGGGTGGCAAGGGGTGGGGGTCCTCTGGGTTTCCAGCGTTGACTTTCCAGCCTCCCGTTTGAAAGCTGCTTCTGCCGGGTCCTTGGGCGAGAGGCCAGAGTGCGGCCTCCCAGCCTTGCCCAGGTCGTGTGCACCCTGCAGATCGTGCTGACGTGCTAACCGGTGCTAACCCTAGCCAGCAGACACTGAACTCAGTGTAATAATAAAATCAGCATTTTACTGTTTTGTTGATCCGTTATATAAAACATACTGTACTAACCCTATGTAAAAAATCCTGCTTCTGTAGAAGTTTCATAGAATTGGCTTCATTCCTTTTTTTGGTGTGTGTGGGGGTGCTGCACACTGTGGCTCCGGGGATCTTAGATCCCCCACCACGGGCTGAGTCCAAGCCTTGGCAGCGAAAACGCAGAGTTCTAACCACTGGACCACCAGGGATGTCCCAAATCCGTTTCACAGATTGCAGTGATGACATTCACATTTGAAGAGTCGTGGGTACCTCCAGCTCTTTGCATTTCGTTATTCCTAGAGATTTGCTGTTCATTTAATATACTGACAACCACCACGACAGATGTCCTTTGAGGGTCCATAAGTCCCAAGAGCTGTGATGGACAGGGAGGCCTAGCGTGCTGTGATTCATGGAGTCGCAAAGAGTGAGACACGACTGAACGACTGAACTGAACTGAACTGAAGCCCCAGCTCTGGAGAGAGGCCGCCTGCACTTGAATTCTGACCTGACCCTCGGTGACTGACGTCCTGGGCCACTCACAGGCCTCCAAGTCCTCCCCGCAGGACGAGCCCGGCTTACGAGGTTAAGTGTCCTGAAGCGTGTCGCTCTCGGTCCAGGTGAGTTTCTACGAAGGACAAGTGTGCTTCTCCCGTGCGCCCGGCAGCGCAGCTATCTTACCCGATTCCATACAACCGGCTCACATTCCTTTCCTTTTGTCCTTGAGGAAGCCAGGGTCAGAGAGGACGAGTCTGCCTTGTTGGCGCGGGAGGGCTGGGAGGGTTTGCACCCGCAGGCGCCTGGCTGGTCCCAGGGCAGCCGGCTGCCTGGGCTGTTGCATCGTCGTGTCCCAGGAGCCCAGGACGCTGCTGGGCACACAGGCCGAGGGCATGAACGGTTGTGTCTTCCTCACCCTGCAGGCGTGCTGAGTAGCCTCAGTCGTGTCCAACTCTTTGTGACCTCATGGACAGTAGCCCACCAGGCTCCTCTGTCCATGGAATTCTCCGGACGAAAATACTGGAGCGAGTGGCCATTCCCTCCTGCAGGGGATCTTCCCGACCCAGGGATCGAACTCGTGTCTCCTGTCTGTACTGCAGGTGGATTCTTCACCACCAGGGCCACGTGGGAAGCCCCTGCTGCTTCCTTTGTTCCACTTTCTGCAGTCAAGTGCTCCGGGCGCTGCAGGGTCTGGCTCGCGCGGCGCCACACCCTCTCACCAGTACGTGGTCTCTTATCTCTAAGCCTCTGTTTGGGCCTGGCCTGATGGCCAGGATGGCCTTGTGTTCACGGATGCAGCCATAAAGCTTCAGCCTGAGAGAGCCCAGGCGGCACTTTCCAGAAAGATTGTTCTGAACATGCAAGGATGGGGTGTCCTGACTTAAGGTTCAGGTACCAAATGCACCCTTGACTGGCTGATTCATGTGATGTTTTTTTTCTTAAATTGAAATATACTCGATTTCAATATGAAGTGAATTTCTGCTGTACACAAAGTGACTCAGGTTTACACATGTAGCATTCTTTTCTGCATTCTTTCCGTCACGGTTTATCCCGGGGCACTGAATGTAGGCCCCCGTGCTGATGGGCAGGAGGACCTCGCTGCCCATCCCTCCTGAGTGGAATCCGCACTTTGCGTCTGCCGGCCCCACACTCCCGTTTCCCTCTCCCTTGGCAGCCACAAGGCTGCTCCGTGTGTCTGTGAGTCTCTTTCTGCTCTGACCTGCTTACCTCGGATCGCATGCATGAAACTTCTCATGTTGGCAGCTCACCCAGAAGTGGACGTGTGGCCACTTCCATATCTGCTGCTCCTCTTGGTGCTGGAGGCTGGGGCTCAGAGGACAGTCCTGGGTGTGGGCTGGAGCCCCGGAGCCTCCGCTTCCTCACTTACGCGCTTCCTAAGGTCAGTAGAGACGGCCCGTCTAAAGGGCATTATAGCCGCAGAGGACCATGGAAATCACAGGGGCCATCTGGAGAGTTTTTTAGCGAAAAGCAGGGGTGGGAACAGAGCCCGAATTGTCAGTTTCAACACAGAGTTTCAAAAGAATAAGCCCGAGATTCTGCTTTTGTTATCTCTGAGTGAGGAGAACAGGGTCATTTTATCTCCTCTGTTTTGCCTATCTGCATTTCCTAGCTGTGCTACCATGAACTTTTTTTTTTTTAAACTTAGTTGAGTCATTTTTTAAAAAGAAACATCTTTAAAGATATCCAAGAACAGGGTTGTACTTACACTCTGATATTTAGTTGATACTTGAGGATCATTGCTATAAATATCCAATATTGTACAATAGATGTAGCTAAGTGACCACCTAACTAATATAAAATAACAGGGTGGATAAATAAATAAAATTATATAAAAAAATAGAATGATCTCCATTGAATTTTTTTTTTTAAGTAGCTGTGGTTTTCCTGCCACATCTGACGGGTGGTCTGGTTCCTTCTCCAGCCTGGCTTCTAGAGTGTGGCTCAGACTGAAGGACCTCTGGGCTCTGCCCATCCAGACCCCCAAGTCTGAATGTAGATAATCACAGGGACACAATTTTGCAAGTTCTTGGTTGTTGTTGTTCAGTTGCTCAGTTGTGTCTGACTTTTTGCAGTCCCATGGACTCCGCACACCAGGCCTCCCTGTTCTTCATCACCTCCCCGAGCTTGTTCAAATTCATGTCCATTGAGTCAGCGATGCATCTAACCATCTGTCGTCCCCTTCTCCTGCCCTCAGTCTTTCCCAGCATCAGTGAGCTCACAGTGAGCATGGCTAAATTTGGCACTCGGACTACAACAGGGTCTAAAGAAATCTCATGTCAGCTATGACCTTTTGGTCCTAACATTTCTGGGGAATTCTTCATATTCTCCTGAACTTGACCTTCTCAATTTATTTTCTTCAAAAACTATCACTTTAAAATTGTTGAGGAATTGTGCATATTCATTATTATTTATGATTCCTTAAGCTACTGAGTATTCAAAGTTGCCATGTTCCAATATGACATCGCTCCTGCCTTTGATGGTCCAGCTAGTCTTTAAATTTTCTGGGTCTGGGTCAGCTAGCAGTTAAGGTTGGGAGGGACAAGCCCCACCTGAGGTCCCCTGGGGTCCCAAGCTCGGCCGACATTCTTTCTGCTCACCCAGCACTGGCCACCAACATTTTTATTGAACTCAGTGTTGTGAAATGTGTTTGCCCATACGTTCCTCTTAAATTGTGTTCTCTCTTGCATAACTTCTAGTGGACATCTATCATTTTCATTATAAATTTAAATATTAAATGTTGAAAAAAATCTATAAGAAATGTCATATTACTTGTTTAAGGATTCTCAGGACTTCCCTGGTGGTTCAGTGATATGACGACTTCGCCTTCCAGTGCAGGGGGTATGAGTTGGATCCCTGGTTGGGGAGCTAGGATCCGACTTGCCTTGGGACCAAGGGACCAAAACATGGGACGAGAAATGATCATCTAAAAAAAGATCCTCAACCAGAGACAGTTTTGCCCCCCAGGAGACATCTGGTCAACTTTTGGAGGCATTTGTGGTGTCACACAAGTTTGAAAGAGCGTGTGTGTGTGTGTGTGTGTGTGTGTGTGTGTAGACCAGGCAAGCTGCTCAGCACGCTACAATGCAACATGTAAGAAAAAGTCATCAGGGCAGAATCCCGACAGTGCTGAGGTTTGAGAAACTGATTTGAATGCACCCCAAGAAATACGAATATCATGGTGAGTTTATGCTCAGTAGCATCCATTCAAAACACACATCACAATTGTCTATAACATTGTTTCTTTTTGTCCCTGAAACTGTATTTCCATTCTTAATCCCCACAGATTTTTATCCTGATGAAAGATCTTTACTTTCCAAAGCCTTACTAGGTGTCACATAATTCTCTGCTACAAAACTCTGCACATAAACTGAATTGGTTTTTAACTCCTACACTATAAGGTTCTAAAGGTTAACATTTTCCTTCTGTATTGAGGTAGTATTAGAAAGCGATCAAATGACATAGATATACTACAACATTCGACAGATGAGTTTTAAGCACAGAAACCACTTGGGTGCAGCGCGTCTCTTCACGGGGTGAATCAGGGAGGGTCTTCGTCTCTTCACGGGGTGAATCAGGGAGGGTCTTCAGGCACCTGCTCGATAGTCTTCGTTGATACAGAGATTCTCACCTTGGGGGCCAGGTAGACTCTGGGGGTGGAGGGGGTGCCTCTTGAAGTAACGTTGGGGAACCACAGTGGAGAATAGGGTAAAAAACCAGAATGGACATGATGTTTACTCAGTTAGACCAGTTGTGGGAAGAAAACATACAGACACTGAAGATTTTGAAATGGCCTTTCACACGCACACACCGCCTGGAGAGTCTTCATGTTGTCTATATGCTGGTGGGATTTACGGAGCTGAGGAGCCTAACAGCTGTCTTCTTCCAGTGACTCAGGCTGTCTCCACAATGCTAAAGCGTGCTACAGGGCAGTAAGCCACGTGTATTACACTTTATAAACCCAGCAAGTGGAATGTCTCGCCGGGGGCATCAGTATTGCAGAAGTGGTCTAGCATGTAGTGGATGGTAACTAGTTCTTGAACCAGACACAATGTTTATTCACTTCTCCATCATCCAGCTGTGCGACCGGGTCAAATTATTACCAGTTCTGGTACATAGCATTCTCACCTGTAAAGTGGAACTAAAAATAGATTTCTCATCGGGCTGTGAGACTTAAATGAGGTCATGCATGCAAAGCGCTGAGTTCATGCCCCATATATGCTAAGTGCTGGGTGAGTATTACTTGTTGTCACCTTTAGACATTGCAGTGTTTGGCTTCAGGAGAGAGCTCTGTGAGGGCGATGGGGTCATCATTTCAGCCTGATTTCTTCCATCGTGACTGTTCCGTGCACAAGGTGCTGTACCGCCCTCTCTAGTTTTACGATCGGCTGTAGACCTTTGAGATTTCAATTGACCTTGGGGCTCTGGAGCTGCTGGCAGGGGTCTGCCCACGCCAGCCGGGCGCCCTCATCTTCCGCTCAGCCTCTCAAGGACACCCGTAAACACTCTAAGACCGCCTACCGCAGGGTGGTCCCCTGGATGCCTGAAGGCTTTTGGTGTTCTCAGAACACTGTCTAGGAGCTGAGTCAGGTGGCTGACCCACATTCAGTCTCCTCTGGGGCGACTTACACAAAACCCACGTCAAGGCAGGGCTCCGAGGAACAGCACAGGCACCTTAATCCTTGTATCGACAACTGTTCTGTTGGGTTACACAGTTTTCATCTCAGAGGAATTGTCTCTTGACATTAAACTGTCCAAACAGTATTTATATCTGCGACTGCCCCGCAAGATCACTTAACCCCACACAGCCGTTTAAAAGTAGTTAATGACAGAAGCGGCCTGACTAAACCCTGATGAGTGATGGGCCACGTTCGACCCGGGCTGTCATGGTTTATGGAGGAAGGCGGTTTGTCCATCGCCTGCTTCAACCACAGCAGGTAATTTGAAATGAAATGAGACAGTTTCTACAAGCAGATTGATTTGGGAATCTTGCCTGCTCTTCCCTTTGACCCTTGACAAGTTGACACTACAAAGATTGTGACTTTAAAAAATGATTGGGTGCAAATACGTTTAGGTAGATGATTTACTGGGCGCCGAAGTAAGGACGCTGCCTTTGGAGTAATGCTGGCAGAGAAGGTAACTGTCCACTCTAACTCAGGCTTCATGTTTCTGAATCCAATTAATTACCCGACCAGGTCAATCTATTAATGATCCTTGATCAAGGTGTCTATATTCTTGGTAAGAGGCCACGGACCCAACTGCCTGGTCAGAGACCGGTAACCAACATCAAGAGCAAGAGACTCTGTCTCTTATTTATGTTATAAACACTCTTACTTATGATAAACTTATTAAAAGGTACTGATTCAGTTTGTCATTTTGGTAGAAAACCCACAGCTTGAAATTAAGTTCTCTTTCATGGGTCCCCTTTTTCCTTTTTTGTAAGTGTGGTTAATAAAATACACGGGGAGACACTGTGATTAAAAGGATGATTCAATTTTTTTGATCTTCGAAGAGTTACCAGAGATACCAGGGGAAAAAAATCCTGCAATATCAAAAATTTTTTTCTAATTCTTGGAAATCACACTTAGATTTTCCTACCAGGCATTATACACTACTTTATGTGTATGTAAAATATTATGCAATACTTTAATATGTAACAATTAAGCAAATATTTTTAACATTATTTTGACGCTACTCTTCTGATGCAGTTGTTTCTCTTAGAAGCGAAGTTTTGTCACAAGTAAATGTTGTCTTACACTGAGTTTAAAAATTAACCATTTTCCAAAACAAGAATAAAAATGACAGTAAGATGATTTTTTAAAAGCAGTTATCTCAGTTCATGATTATGTAATATTTATGCCTGGATTTCTTAAAATGAACTTGGCAATGGAACTATCGATTCATTAATGTTGGGATTTGCCTTGAAGTAGCCACGTTCTGGAACATTTGCCATTGAACCCGGGCTGTTAACTGCAGCTTTTGTGTTTCTCTCTATTCTAACCACTTTGTCTGAAATATAATTTTGAAGATGCTAGTAAAAAATATAACAAATTCCTTATTGGTCTCCGTTTAAATTATTTACTACCCTTTGGAGCCATATCTTCATTGAACTATGCTTAAAGTATTTTGCAGGAATGTTTCTTTATGTTGTCCATCGGGTTTAATAGACGTGCCATTTAATAAGCTCTCTACCTGTAAGGATAGACTATTTGACCTCTGTGCCCTGCCACTGGTAGACATAGTATAAGATTGCTTTGTGAAATAAAGCTGTCGGTAACATCAACAAAATAAAAAATGATCGTATTCCAATACTCTCTGCTGAGTACTATGACAGCGCTGAAATATGGAATAAAATTGAAAGTAGATTAGTTTTGGGTCTTAAGTCATGTTTTGACAAGAAATAAGAGAGGAGAACATATCTTTGAACTTTTAGTTTTAAAGTTTTTTAATGAAAATATTTATCATTTTGTAAGGTTCCTTCTTTCTTTATCACACCGCGG